CATCAAGATCTATTTTCACTGGTGATGCTCTTTTTCTGAGCATACTAAATTATTCCCCTGAGCCAAAATTTATTCTTTTAATTTTCTAGCATTTTATGTTTTTAAAAAATGTGTCACTTTTAATCTTATTCATCCATTAGTAAACTTACCCCCATAAGATTCCTTCTCTTGCAGAGGTGAACTAGTTTTTATTTAATTGTTTCTTTATGCAAAGTAGAGTTAAATTTCCCCTCCCCCACTTCTAAACATACCTCATTAAAGTCACTTTCAGAAAAAGACTTAACAGGGAATTTTCAAACCTGAAGGAAATTTTGCTCCTTTTATGTTGCAAAAATCGGAGACACAGTGGTCTCCATTATCTGTGTTAAACTCAGGGAACATTCATACTTGATTATCCAAAATGGCAGATTATCCCAGTTATTTCTATTTAAAATTTTAATGGTAGCTCTCTCTCCTACTTTCGTTTGACTAATGTTAATACAAAATTAGATGCCATTTCCTGACTTACTCACCAATTTACATTGAGAAGTTACAGGTCGAATAGGTGGAAGAAGAAAGCCAATATTTCCTTGGAAACCCACATAATCACAATTGAAGGTAATTGCTTCATCAAAAGTACAGATTTTCCATGCAATAATAGCTCTGTTTATCTTATAAACACTAGAACATTAGACCACCTGATCATTTTTCTGGGGAAAAAAAAAGTATAAACAAATTTAGAAAATTAAATCTTATTTTTCTATGGACATATTCTAATTTAAAGATACAGTTTCATTTTACTTGATCCTTAATTGAGAGTGTCACTTAACCATCCCCTTATTGTTGGTGTTTATGCATATCAAGCAACAGTTGCAAACCCATGCCTCTGCTACTTATTCTTACTTTTATGGTATATAAACAGCAGAACCCACATTCTATGTAAAGAAGTTAAGGCCACACTTCAAAATACTTCTTCCATACTCTGGTTTCTCTTTAGATTGTATAAATCTTTTGTTTTTCAATAAATACTTCGTCCTTCCCTAAATTCATTAGGTGGCTACCTCAGTTATTCGATGTTTGAAATGTCACACTTCCTTAACATTCACTAATTAGGCACATTAGAGAAAGGACCGATTTGAATTAGTGACAATTTTGAATGCTGTAATATTATTAAAAATTCATAGTTTGATCCCTTTATGGTACAATATGCCACTCAAGCAGTCTATAGTGAAGTATTTCCAAGAAGAAAGGCTACTGCCAAGACTGCTTTAAAGATAAGATTCTTCAATATCGTGCACCCTCAGCTTTAAGCAAATGAGTGTGGCAAGGTTATCTAAATGTGTTCAGTTCACATTCACTGAGCAGTTACTATATGCTCAGCATCATTCTAGAAAATTTTTGTCCTCTTGAGTTAACAATTCACTCTAAATTATCACTCATTTGCCTCGTGACACTTTATCTCATGCTTTAATACCTGTCTAAATGTACTCATTTATTCAAAAGATTCCTAACAGTTATAATGGGTTAGGCACAGGTACAAATTCAAAATGACTGGGATGAAGGTCATTTACCATGCGCACCAACACCAATCAATCAGTCAACCAACAAGCCCTTTGTTCTGGGTACTGTCACTAATTAAGGGTTTCTCAACCTTGGCACTGATGATATTTCAGACCAGGTAATTCTTCGTTGTGGGGGGCTGCCCTGTGCACTGTAGAATGTTGAGAAGGCATCCTTTGCTTCTTTCCATTAGATGCCAGTAGCACCCCTACTTCTAGTTCTGATCATCAGAAATGTCTCCAGATATTGCCAAATCTCCTTGAGGTGGGCTGGTGGAGGCAGAATTGCCCCTGAGAACCACTGAGAGTATGTACAACACATCTCCTTTACTAGAGTATAAAGACTTTGAAGGCAGAGACCCAATCTGATTCATCACCATATCAACCCCTCCCCACCAGCTAAATTTAGTTTCTGGCACAGGAATGCTTCTTGATGAATGTTCTGGAAAGAACAAAATATCTCTCGAGTAAGTACCTATACTATTGTCGGCCCTGCACAGAGCATTTTGTGAACCCAGAAGATGAGTCAGGTAACCAGAGTAAATTCTAACAAATTTTTACGATTTGAATAATCACTCCCTTTTCGGATCGCATATCCACTTGGCCAAAGGCCTACATTTGTATAGGGCTTTAATGTGTCTGAAGCATATTTCACATAATGGCATTTGATCTAGGCACAGGGATAGTCACTTTGTCCACTTCAGTTTATAATTTAAGCTTCCAAATCCCGGAGCCACATTCTCAGGCAGGAGTGGGAGGCATTTTGATATCAGTGGCATTGCTTTTGGTTATTAAAAGGAACTCTTAAGGTTGGTTTAATAGCGTTAAATTTAAAGTTCAGGATTCTCTTTTGCCATGTTAGAAGTAGAACATCCAAAAGGCTCTTCAGTGATCTAAGTGATTCTGGTTTACTCAGATTCCTGGAAATTGCCAGAGGGCTTCAAGGGAGGAGGGAAATAAAGAGTGAGGAAATTTTCCCTGTGGGCAATTGGGGAAAACAAAAATATTTTTGTGCTGTGGAGACTTCTCAGGAAAGGAGGGTTGGCCAGCAGACGCATCTGCGCAAGGGGAATTTCCACATTTGGGAAAACATGGTCATAATTAATGACTTAGGAAAGCCAAGAAAATGGATCATGTTGGGAAAATATGATTTTCAATGGCCAAGTTATTGTCAACTGATTGGGCCAGAAAATTGGATTGTTTTAGAAAGAGATTTTTATTTGTGAATATTTGCTTACAGATCCTTCCTTCTGTGGATCTATTACATACCCTGCCCTTGTCTGAGGAACAGGACTTCCATAGCCAGATCCACTCTCCCTGTCCCTCCCTCCCCTAAGGGAGTGTTTGCACTAGACTTCTGGCCTGGACATCCGGCCTTTCGCTTTGAACACGATGCTCTGGACCAGCCAGCGGGTCTATTAGCATCCATTAGAATAGCGATGATTATCCAGGATTCTTGGACAAGGGCGGAAGGATAACATTGCTTGATCCTAATGCGGCCATCGTTTACTGAGGACTCCATGTCCTAGGCCCTGTGCTGAGAACACTGAAAAACTCTCCTTACTTAGACACAGGGAAACTGAGGCTCAGGGAATTTAAGTAGTTTGCCTACAGTCATATAGCTTTTAACTACCAAGCTATCTATACCTCTCATCCTGTATATAAAGTCTACTCCCTAAATTGGAATGTTCTCACCTTGTATACAACCTCTCACTCACTTTCCTTCCTGCCTCCTATCTTGCCCAGATCACTCTGTTTAAACTACATCTGGTCTTGGGGTTGTGCTCAACAGAGATCTCCATGGTTACCCATCATTCTGAAGAGGAGAAATCTGGGCTAGCAGGCTCAGCACCATTCACATCTCTATTTACCTAGGGAATGATTATGTGGTCAGAATGTTCTTGCCCCATTTTTTGGTTTTCTCTTATCTCAGTGATCCATTTTATTAAAACAGGTACAATCATGCTACTTCTCTCACAATTTTCTCAATGTCAGAATGCAGCTTGATGAATTTCAACAAATTTGCCAAGGTAAAGGTCAAGTTTTTCAGAGAGGGAAATATAGCTAAGAAAAAAAAATCCCTCTCTTTGACCTGTAGATGTGGTATCCAGTAAAATATCTATAAAATGCCGACATTGTTCCGTGAAATGAAGAAACTGCAGATTAAATCATGGCTCCCTGAAGCAACAATTCCACACTGTAAATTCATCAGAGATGGCTTCTAAAGTTAGCCTTGTCCTGCCATTGCAACAAATATGAGAAAACAGACCTAACTAGGATTAAGTCTAATTATCCTGGATTGAACCTCAATGCATGTTATAATTAATTAAAAAATCATAGCATCTTGAAAATAATTTAACATATTTCTTTTCTGATTGAACTTAAATCATATTAATTAAATCTTACTAATATTTGTTTTCTAAGTGGTTCTAGGACATAGCCAGACATTATTACCTTTATTTAGAGATGTGAAAACCAAAGGGATATATTAGTTTTCTCCTGCTGTGCAGCAAATTACCACTAACTTAGGGGGTTAGAACTACATCTCATTTATTAGCTCACACTTCTGTAGTTCAGAGGTCTGGGTAGGTTTGGCTGGTTCTCTGTGTAGGATGCCACAAGGCAGAAATCAAGGTATTAGTCAGGCTAGACTCTTATCTCGAGGCTCTGGGGAAGAATCTGCTTCCAAGCTCATTCAGACTGCTGGCAGAACCCAGTTCCTTGTGACTAGAGCTCCAAAGTGCCTCTTTTCTTTCTGGCTGTCAGCCAGGAACCATTCTCTGTTCCTAGAGGCCACACACGTTCCTTCTCACATGGTCTTCTCTATCTTCAAAGCCAGCAATCACCCTCAAATCTTTCTCACATTCCAGAATCTCTTTGACCTCCTCTTCTGCTACCAACTGAGGAATCTATTCTTTTAAAGGGCTCACCTGATTGACCCAGGCCCCTCTGGATAATCCCTGTATCTTAAAGTAAACTGATGTAATTGCATCTGCAAAATCCCTTTACCACAGTATCTAGATTAGTGACTGAAGCAGCACCTAGATTAGTATTTGACTGAAGTTCAGGAAATAGGCTTCTTGGGGAGCTGTCTTTAGAATCCTGATAACCATAAGAAAATAGAACTACCCAGTTAACCTGAGATATGATCCGGAAATAGACTCCCAACAGTATTGAATCAAATAATTTAATTATTTATTTTATTCCCAGTTTTTGTTGTTGTTGTTGTTGTTTTTAAAGAAATATTTGTGTATGGCTTATTTTTTAATATATGTATTTTGGGGGTGCCCATCCCCACATTTTTTTACAGATGCGTGATCGGTAATGTTGCCAAGGCTATTTTGGGATCTGTTATGTTTCAGGGGCCTGTGAATGTTCAAGAGATAAGGTGTGGGTGGGAAGCTAGACATGGGTGTGAGGGGGTGGGGGCGATGGCAGGTGAAGACAGGCGAGAGGCTGCAATTGTGTGAAGTCGGAGGAACAGTTTATTCTTGTTTATAATATATTCACAGAAGACCTTGGAGGGGGGGGAATCCTTTTGCTATTTTCTATTGGTAAGTCCAGGGATTCTTTGCATGTAATTTATGAGCAGTATTCGGGGATACTTATGTTTCTAAACATAAGGGCATTTTTGGAGTATGCTGGGTCACCATCACCAGAATGCTGTGTCTCCAGTGTGGAAATGAACTTCTCAAAGCTTCTGTTGCACAATTTCAATGTGCCAATGCCTGCCAGATGCACAGGATGTCTGGGATGCAGGCTGAGCCCGTGGGCCTGGCGAGCTGCTGATCCAGAAGTCTGGGCCTTCAGAGGGTCACCTCAGGATTGAGAAGTTGTGGGAAGGACTTAAAGGCTCCTGGAGACAGATGAATGAAGGCTGCATATTCTCCAATTTTAACATTTTACCTGAAGGACAGCCTGATGAAAAGGTCTGGTTTTCTGGTGAAGGGAGTGCAAATGGTTTTAGCCTTTAGGAAGAACATACACAGAAATGTGAAAACCTCACAAAAAGGCAGAAAATTTCAGATGCTAAGTATTTCTCTCTTCTTCCAAGGACATTTTGGTATTCCCCTTCTTGAAATCCTGGCCAAAAAAAAAAAAAAATGGAGGAAAGGAGGACATTGCCCAAAAGTTTCTTTTAAATTGTCCCAGAACTTCAGAAAATGGTGAGAAAACGTAGTCATATCATGAGGGCCAAAGGAGAGGAGTCAGTAGCGAAGACAGTCAATAATTGCACTGATAGAGCACAAAGACTAAGAGTGTGTGTGGCGTGTTTAGATTTGGAAAGTAGGACACAGCAGGAAAGAGGCTGCGTGGAAGAAATTAGTATTGCTTGTTAATTGTGATGTCTTTAAAACATAACACATCTTATATCCTTTAACTAACAAAGTTATTTTGCTCTATGAAGGACAACTCCAAGGATGCTGATAATAGGTTACAGATGTTCTTTTATTGCTAAAGTTTCTGCTTAAGAAAAATCTTTCCTCTCGTGTACTCATTCCCTCAGAAGTCTTTGAGGAGAACCTGCCACGTGCCTTGATCTAGGTGCTAGGAATACAGCCGTGAACACAAGGCACAAGGTCTCTGTTGTCAAGGAGCTTCTAATTCTAGTGTGGAGGAGTTGGAAAACAAATAGTTACATTTCATAACATGATACCTAAAGAGGTAAACAAGATAATGTTACACAGTGATAGGTGCAACACAGAGAAATAAAATAAAAGGAAGTGTTGGATGACCAACCAGGTTGCCATTTTAGATTGGGTGGCCAGCGAAGAGCTCTCTAAAGAGAGGACATCTGAACAGTGATCTAAATGACAAAGAGGAGCTGGTCATGAAAAGATCAGAATGCATAGCACTTTAGGTGGAAAAAAGAGGTGGTCTGAAGGTCCCCAAGATGGTAACAAGGTGACTGAGGAAGAGAAAGAAGCCTGCATGGCTGGAAGTCTGGGACAAACAGAAAAGTGGAACAGGATGAAGTTGGACAGGTGGACAGAACCTAGATCTTTTAGGCACGGAAGGTCATAGTAAGGAATTTGGATTTTAGGTGAGATGGGAAGCCAACGGGAGGTTTTAAGCAAGGAAGTGATTTTTTTCTGTTTCTTTAGGAGGCAATTGCAGTAATTCAGGTAAACAATGGTGACTTGAATGAGGATAGCAATGGCAAAGACAGGGAGAATAGAGTGGATTAGGGGTATACACGGGAGGTAGAGTCCACAGAACTTTCTGGTGGTTTATTATGGCAGACATAAGAGAAAGAAAGAGATTAAAATTCTCTCCTCTACTGGGCACTGGGCAGATGGTGATGCTCTTTAGTGAAACAGATAGGCTGGGAATAAGAAGTATAGCAGACCGTGTCAATTCCCTTTCCAACAGCTGTTCTTCTCTTCCTCCTTGCTAACAGAGCCCTGACTTGGTGGAGGGTGACAGTATGTCCAGCTCCAAGTGATGAATCATGATTGGTATAATTCAATCATAATAATCCCATTCTCTTTTGCTCCTCTGCAGCCAGGAGTGATTCATTTCTGGCTAATGAGACCTAAGTGAAAGCCTTCTGTGGATAGATATGACTATCTTGAGCACCATCACAATGCCTGGAGTCACAGCAGCCATCTTGTGACCACAAAACAAAGTCATGATGATTAAAAGCCAACATGTTAAGGATGGTGACATAGAAAAAAAGAGGAATACTATCAATGGGTCCTTGATGGTATAGTTGAGCAGCTGAACCAACACCAGAAATAATCTACTGCCAGACATCTTGCTTATGAGAAAAGTAAAACTCTATTTAAGCCTCTTGGTGTTTGATACAAGAAGGTTAAGGGAAAGAATCAAGAGTTCTCTTTTGGCCATGTTCAGTTTGAGATGCCTATTAGATATCCAGGGGGAAGTGACAATCTAAATTTTTCACTTCCACAATGGAAAAAACATTTCTAGATATTTTTTTATCTTTTCATATTACTATGATACAAGAAAATGTGAAAAAAAGTATAAAAGTGAATGAAGGTACAACGAAGACAAGTGAATGAAGGTGCAATGGCCCAAATCAGAAGCTATCAGTATATAAATAAAACCAACTCCCCTAGTATTGGTAGGTTAGCAAGGTTGAAGTTGTTAAAACAGAAAGTCTGGGGCAATGAAGGAAGCTTAGTCTGAAGACCAGTTAGGTCCCTGCATTTCCAAGTACTTTCCATCACCTTGGGAGGGAAACATCCTAGACTAGAGAACTATTTCTATTAAGATAGCTTCTTACCTATATATCACAGTGTTTGTGTATTGCTTTATTTCCTCTTCTGACATATAACAAATAACCTAATGAAAATTCCCCCACTAACTTACCCAGGGAACCTAAAGTAGGCCAAATTGAGCTCTTAGCACAGTTCTGGTTGCTGATAAAAATCAGCATCTACAAACGCAATTGCACCTATTTCCATTAGAGCTATCACCCAAAACTAGATCACCACTTTTGTAGATTAAAAGTTTGCCAACCCACATATTTTTTTCCTTAAGCACTTCATCATGTGCTGGATGGTTTAGACTCCATCTATAGAAAGAAGAGTAAATTTCTTTTGCCAGTGGCCCATCAGAAACAGCTATCGATTTTGTGTGTGTGGACAAGTAATGAGTCTGCAAAATTGACTTCTCGGGGTAAATATCTTCTATTCTGTCCATACTGTGAAGTCCATGTTCTCCTGAGGTTAATTGGCTCATGATATTCTGTATTCATGTTCCCTGGTTCGTCACTATGCTCGGGATTTTTGTCCCTACACCTTGCACTTTGTTTTCCCATAATTTATTACAACCAACATTTTTCTAACAGTTTTGGGTCTGCATTAATTTTTAAGTCCCTGGAGGAACATTACGTTCCCAAACATTATGTTCTGCACTCTCATGCTCATACCACGTCGTGCAGTGCCAGACACCTCCTGGGATCTCAAAAAAAAAAAGAAAAAAAAAGTTGTTTCTTTTTAAAAGATAGGCGATTACTATGGGATGCCCATAAAATATCTTTCTCAGTTGAGTTACTCTCACTGTTTATATAGCCCCAGCGGCTTAGGTAAAAAAAACATTGGTTAACAGAAAGAACCTAAGTCCTTTGGAAAGCTTTGTTAGTCTCTCTTCATCACTGTAAAAGCAGAGATGAATATCGACTGGTCTTACAGAAGTGTTGGGGAAAAAATGATGAAAAGCGTTAGGAATGAGAAGGCCTTTCATTAAAAATATGAAATGTTAGGGAGATGATAGTGTCATTCCTACCAAGCAGGCTTCAGCTCAAGTGGAGCTCACTCCACTGATAGATGCTATTCATCAATATCACAAAGAATGGCTGTCCCGCAGGATCCCCTTCTGCTGGTGGGATCTGCTGCAGACAGTTGGAACTTCTTTTCAAATATTCAAAAGATCTGCTATACCCACAATATTTCCTCTTCTCTCAGCTTCTCAGCTCTATCTAGAACACTTCAATGTCTTTCTACATTGCAAATTTGAACCTCCCTCTGAATTCTTCTAAGGTTGTTTGAAGCAGAGGAATAGGACCATGGACAGAGGTATAGCCTACCAATCACTGGCGCAGCAGGAAAGCGAACTCTTCCTGCCAAGAATCCCTGGGAGAAGGGTCTTTAAATGAATAAACTCTCCTTTATTCAGGAGTCACTTTCTCCTTTTCTAATTTCCCTGTGGAATGGCACGGTTTCTTCTGGAAACACTGACCTCTTCCACCAACTCCATGCTCCTGAAACACAAACAGAATACTCATTCTAGCAGATGCAGCTCTTAAAATATTTTTAAAATATTTTCATCATAAATATTTCAAACAGACAGAAAAATATAGAAAATAGTTTAACAAACATCTATGTATAAAATACTCAACAAATCCTAATGTCTGATTTATTGCTTTTGGGTTTTTTGTTTGTTTGTTGTAAAAATTCTTACAAGCAGAATTGAAACCATTGTCTACTTCTGATCTCATTCATTTCTCTATTTTTCCTACTTTCCTCTTTTCCCAAAAGTAATCACTATCTTGAAGTTCCCATAAATCATTACCAATGCATGTTTTTATACTTTTATATTATATGTACATATTCATAAATAATATATAGTATCGCTCTGTGTTTGTAAACTGTAAAGGAATACTATATCACGCTGTACATAACATTCTGCAATACTTTTTTAGTCATCATTACTTTTTAGGTTTATTCATGTTGCAACCTGAAGAACTAATTCATTAATTACACCTGTTATATATTATGCCCTTGTTTGAAATACCCAAGTTTCTTATCCATTTTCCTGCATTATGGATGTATGTGTTGCTTTGAGTTCGTGATTGTTTGCTATTTAAACAATACTGCAATTAACATTTGAATACCTGTCTCCTGGTGCACACCATGTGAGAGTTTTTCTAGCCCAGAAGTTCTCAACCCTGGTATTATTGACATTTTGGACTATATAACTCTTTGTTGCGGGGTAAGATATTTAGCAGCACCCCTCACCTCTACCCGGAAGGTATCAGTACCAGCCCCAATACACAGTGTTATGACCATAAATGTCTTCTAATTTACGAAAACATCGTCAAATGTTTTCTAGGGGGCAAAATCACCTCTGGTTGAAAACCACTAATCTAGGCAAGAGAGCAACTGCTGGATGTTAGGATTTAAATAAGTATATATCACCATTTTGCTTTCTAAGAGTCCTATTTCTCCACATCTTGCTAATTTTTGGTATTTTCAAATTTTAAAATGTTAGCATATTTATAGCTATGAAATGGTAACTTTTTATTATTTTATTTTGTTTTCCCGTCATTTCTAGTAAGATCGAACATCTTCTTGTATGTGTATTAGCCATTAGGGTTTCTATTCTGAGAACTGCCTGTTCATATCCTTTGTCAAATTTTCCTTCTAGTTGTTTCTTTTTCTTATTGCTTTGCAGGAGTCCTTCATAATTTTTTAACACAAATACCTTGGTTGTTGTATGTCTGGAAAAATATCTTTTCTCAGTCTAAGCTTGTCTTTTCACTTTGTTGATGATGTATTTTTATTTTAAACTAGTAAAATTATTCATCTTTTCCTTGACATTTTATTCTTTTGTGCTGTATTTAATAAATTCTTCTTATCCCAAGGGTGTAAAGACAATCTCTTATATGTTTCCTATAGGTATAAAATTTGACTATTCACATTTAGGTCTTTAAATCAACTTAAAATCTTGTGATATGAAATAGGAAATACATATATAAGTATTCAAACACACATTTATTAACACTCATCTTTTCTCTCCAGGTTTGTTATGCTAGCTCTGGTTTTAAATTTTGATTGATTTTTTTTTTTTTTTTTTTTTGGTAAGGCAACCCCCCTGACTTATTCTTTTTAAAATTGCCTTGGGTATTGTGGTTGATTATCTGTCCAAAGTATATTGTCTCTTTCTCCTTTCTAACTGAACCTAAATTGTTTTCAGGTGTCCATGAACCCCATCCCACTGTGCTTAGTTTAAGCCCATTATAGTAATTAACATTCCATTGGGACTGGTTTGACCATAGGCATGTGTGTTGCATCTCTTGCCAATGAAACCTATGTGAAATTGTGTTAGGGTGGAGATGGGATAGGATAGGTAAGTTTTCTTCTCATTTAAAAAGGTACAAAAGAAGAAGACTTGCCCTTCCTATCTTTGGACAGAGTTGGAGGAAAACATGATGGCCGGGGCAGTGGCAACCATCTTGCCACCTTGAGAGGACAAGCTGGAGCCCAGCACACTGAGAACGGCGAGGCAGAGAGATGAAAACGTCCCACGTCTCAGTGATGTCATTGTGCTGCTGAATTAACCAATCTTGAAGCCACCTACCACTGGACATCCTGTGATGTGAAATAATAAACCTGTTATTGTTTAAGCCACTTTAAGTTGTATATTCTTTCACTTGCAGCCAAAGACATTCCCACCTACTATAATTAGTTTTGACCCTTTACTGTTCTACATGAATTAAGTGATCATTGTTCCATGTTACATAATCAGGATTTTAAGAACTGGGTTTGCACTGAAATTAAACATTAACTTTAGAAGAAATGACATCTTCATTCGTTTTAATGAATATTCTAATTCATGAATATGGTATAGGTCTCCACTTACTCAATCTTAATTTGTTCCATAAAAATATTTTATACATAAAATCAACATTTTATTTAGATAAAAGTCCACATTTGTGTTTATTTATTCCTAGACACTTCATCACTTATTGCTGTGAAAAATGGTGTCTTTTGTTTGCTTTTAAATACTGTATGTGATAAATACTGAGATACAGGAGTGTAATTGAGTTTTGTTTGTTGATCTTATACCCTGCAGCCTTGCTGAGTTGTCTTTTTAGTTCCAATATTTTTTCAGTATAGTCTGTTTGATTTTCTTTACAGATAATCATATTACCCAGTTAAGGAGAGCTTTTCTTTTCCCTTACTATGATAATAGAGATGCCATAAATTCAGTCATGGAGGCCAACTTCCTGTCATGTGTCCTTCCTTGCTTTCCTGCTTGATCATTCCCTCATGTAAGGCCCATCTTGAGGCAGTGGTGACCTTTTTTTAGCCTCTTTAGCCAGCCACTTTGTGTGTAGGAGGGTGGGGGTTCTTAGTCTAGCCCCTGTTTTGAAACTACTCGTTTCAAACAGTGAACCTGGTTCTGGTTCCGGTTCCCACCTATTTCCCTCACTTTTAATCTCCCTAACCCTGCAGAGGTCCCATTCCAGCATCCTCTGCCTCAGACCTGGACCCCAAAAGGCCCACGTCTTCAGTCTCATTCTGCTTTGCATTCCTGGTTCCTAGAAGACTACATTTTGGTCCAGCTGTTTCTTTTCATCTTTCTCTTTTATATATATATTTTTAAAGATTTTATTTATTTGACAGAGACAGAGCTAGCGAGAGCAGGAACACAAGCAGGGGGAGTGGGAGAGGGAGAAGCAGGCTTCCTGCCGAGCAGGGAGCCGATGTGGGACTCCATCCCAGGACCCTGGGATCATGACCTGAGCCTAAGGCAGATGCTTAAGGACTGAGCCACCCAGGCGCCCCTCTCTTTTATATTTTAAAGACCATTGCTTTGTGTTTGGAGCTGAGCAAGTCCCTCAAAGGTTCGTGTACAACAAGTTTCCTTGACCTGAAATCACAATTCCAAATGTCTATTTTGTAAGGAATTACAGAACTAGCTTCTACCCCTGCTGATAGCACACACAATAATTATCATCAAATATAATACTACTCGGAATTTTCACAATGTCCTTTGGCTCCTCACACTTTGTGAATGCTATAATGTCTGTGTTTGTTAACTGAGTGTGGGAAACAGAGGTAAATAAATAGTATTTTCAACACCTGAGAAAACTGAGGCTGCTTGCTCAATTGTGGCCAAGAATAACCAGACAGAATTCCAAGACTGTGAGTTCCTCCAAAGTAGGGCTGTGCCTTGTCCATCCTGTACCTCATACAGAATGACCTTCACATGAAAGGGTTTTTTTTTTTAAAGATTTTATTTACTTATTTGAGAGAGAGAGAGAATGAGAGACAGAGCATGACAGTGGGGAGGGTCAGAGGAAGAAGCAGACTCCCCGCTGAGCAGGGAGCCTGATGTGGGACTTGATCCTGGGACTGACTCCAGGATCATGACCTAAGCCGAAGGCAGTCACTTAACCAACTGAGCCACCCAGGCATCCCAAATGAAAGTTTTTGAGCTGAGCAAACCAAACCCTGGGCCCATGCTAGCTTTATTCAACCGGAGAGCTCATGAAGAGAGGAGAGCCCTAATAAGGTCCTTAATATCTAGGCAATGCTATGACTTGAAAAGGATGGAACGTAAGAAGAATAAGAGCAGTAAGAGCTGATTTTAAACAAAGTGAATGAGAAGGAATTGTCAATGGCATTTCATCTAGAAAGTGGATTTTGATTGAGATTTAGATTTTTTATACTAATCCCCTTATATAAACTAGCTTAGTATGTAAATATAACCAAAATAGCATCCATTAAAATTGCAAAACTTATTTATTAAAATATGTAAAACAGCCAGCTGCAGCAGTAGTGATTAAGAAGTATAAAAATAAATTATTTTGCCAACAAATATTTATTGAGTTCCTACTATGTGCCAGCATTGTATAGGAAGTTGTAATACAAAGATAAATAACACAAGTCCTTATGCAGCTAACCATCTAGTTAGGCCAAATCATGGGCAGATAAATAATCCAAATATGATGGGATAAGCTCCTTAAAAGACTGTCAGCTCAAAGACATGTTTGTACACCCATGTTCACAGTAGCCAAGAGGTGGAAGCAACCGAAGTGTCCATCAACAGACGACTGGATAAACAAAATGCGGCATATGCCTACAATGGAATATTATTTGGCCTAAAAAAGCAATAAAATTCTGACATAAGGTGCAATATGGATGAACTTTGAGGATATACGGAGTGAAATAAGCCAGTTACAAAAACACAAATACTGGGGGCGCCTGGGTGGCTCAGTCGGTTAAGCGTCTGCCTTTGGCTCAGGTGATGATCCTAGGGTCCTCGGATTGAGCCCCAAGTTGGGCTCCCTGCTCAGTGGGGAGCCTGCTTCCCCCTCTTCCTCTGCTGCTACCCCTGCTTGTACTCTCTCTCCCTCTCTCTCTCAAGTAAATAAAATCTTTAAAACAACAAACACAAATACTATATAATTAATCAAGTTCATAAAAAGAGAGAGTAAAATGTTGGTTGCCCAGGCCTTGGGAGGGTGTGGGGAGTGGGGAGAATTCTTTAATGGGCAGAGAGTTTCAGCTTGGTCAGATGGAAAAAGTTCTAGAAACTGGATACACAACAGTGTAAACATACTTAACACTATTGAACTTTACCCTTAAAAATGGTTAAAGTGGTAAATGTTGTTATGCACAATTTACTACAATTTTTTTAAGAGTAAAAAAAAGTGTTAGCTTCATGAGGGCAGGGGTACATTCCATTCACTCTTAAATTTCTAGCATCTAACAGAATGCCTGATGCATAGTAGGCTCTTGATAAATATTTGACCTTCCTCTGGCTTCTCCTCCCCATCCAACGTCCTACACAACACAGCAAAGGCCAGGTCCTCTGTGAGCCAATTCAGCAGACAAAGGCACTTCTCTCCTTAGGGCCCAGAAGGGGAAGAATTTCAAATATTTGTGATTTGATATTTGGCCTGGTCACACCAACTATTCTTTACTTCTCAATTATGCTTATCTGAGCTTTTTTTGGCATTTAAGTTTCCTAAAGATAGATACTGTTTCTATTTCCCAAAACAGAGTTGTGATGGACTTTGTTAAGAAAAAAAAAGTGGAAGGAAGTCTGTGAGGTGAAATCATTACGAGGCCAGTGTACAAATGGGCTCTGGAGCCAGGCTTGCGGGGCTCAGGAGGAAGGATGAGGTCATTAGCATATATTTGCAGTTCCACTGCCCGTCCCTCCCTTCACTGGCTCAGTCTGTTTCCAGTTGCTTGGTTTATTCTTTTGGGGTTTTTTGTTTTGTCTTGTTTTTTTGGTTTTTTTCACTTGGTCAAAAATAGAAAGACAAAAAAAAAGTTGCCTTGTACTTATTTTAGCTTTTCTACTTTTTTTCTCATGTCTTTGTTTTCCCATTTGCCATGATCCTTCTTCCTGCCACCTGTTCGTTTCTGCTTTTCCTACCTTTCTCAATTAGGGCTTTTCCTTGTGTTCTATACACCTGCTTTGTGCCTGGTATCCATGAAGGACAGGTAAGTGTGGTATTTATCTACAGCACAGACATGGAGCCTGCCAAGGACCAGAGGGATTAGCACCAGGGAATTCCCTGTTTCTGGCCCAGGCACCGGACAGAGCTCCCTGTTGTTGGTTCTGACTTCGCGTTGGCCCTGGGCATGCATGTTGCATGTTGCTAGGCTTTAGAGTAGAACAGAAGTGCCTTGCCTGATGTTGCAGAAGAAGTCTGGAGGAGAGGGGTGCCTGGGTGGCTCAGTCGGTTAAGCATCTGCCTTCAGCTCAGGTCATGATCCCGGGGTCCTGGAATCAAACCCCACATCAGGCTCCCTGCTCCGTGGGAAGCCTGCTTCTCCCTCTTCCATTCCCCCTGCTTGTGTTCCCTCTCTCTCCGCCAAGTAAATAAATAAAATCTTAAAAAGAAAGAAGTCTGGAGGAGAAAGGTAACAGGGTATCTTTCTTCTTTCTCCTCAAGCTGGTACGCTGCAAGGCTCCGTGCAGACCACAGCCAACCCAGGCCTTCTTGGAAACAGCGTCAATCATAGAAACAAGCAAGGTTTCCAGGCCTGGAGATTTGATCGTGTTACTTTTTAAATGCAATATTTAAATAGTTCTTGCTGTGACAGACACTATTTGAAGTGCTTTTCTATAGTAACTCATGTAACCCTTTAAATGTTAATTCACTTAAGCCTTAAAACAACCCTGTGAACTGGGAATCATGATTGCCTGGATTTTATGGAGGAGGAAACTGAGACCCAGGGAGGTTAAGTGATTGCTCAAGGCACCAAAGTTAGGTAAGTGGTAGCGTCAAGATCTGAATCCAGACAGCCTGGCTCCTGAATCCATGCTTTTAACCACCACATGGGTATCATTTTTTGAAAATATACATTACACCACTTCACTTTTACAAAAGACCTACATTAGTACTTGGTTTTGCTAACCAAAAGAAATCCGAAGAGGATTTTTGCTTTTACAAAAAAAAGGGGGGGGGGTGAAAAACAAAACCAACATGTTCAGCATTTGTTATGCACAGAGCCCACACGTACAGAGGCAGCGTGCACCCTGAGCCGCGAGAGCGGCCCTGCCAAGCTCCTTTCCTGAGAACTACACCGAGCCTCTCCGCACCAAGTCACCAAAGCTTCGAACTGTGTCTGTGAACATCTGTGCTTTATCTCGATTTATTTTGTGCATCCGTTAGCAAGATGTGTTCTGAGGTATCAGCCTAAGAGAGGTTATTTTTTATAAATTGATGGTAATAGCTTCTTTGCTTCATGCCATTTCAGCTTATGGAAGGATTCGTAGGAATGCTCTACTGTCATGTAGTGGGGGACACCAGCATGATGCTGCCTCTCTGGTTTATGTACAGTCACTTCCCAGGATCTCCTTTGGAGATCTCAGGCCTGATTTTTTTTTTTTTAAGATTTTATTTATTTATTTGAGAGAGAGAGAATGAGAGATAGAGAGCACAAGAGAAAAGAGGGTCAGAGGGAGAAGCAGACTCCCTGCTGAGCAGGGAGTCTGATGTGGGACTCGATCCCGGGACTGACTCCAGGATCATGACCTGAGCCGAAGGCAGTCGCTTAACCAACTGAGCCACCCAGGCGCCCTCAGGCCTGATTTTATCAAATATCTTCTACCAGGTATCATACCCTCTGGTAGGAGCTGGACAATGTGTGTATCCCTCTGAAATTCCTGTGTAGCTCTTGGGATACCTGCCAGCAATCATGTGTTCACAGGCTCCATTCTGCAGAAGACATAAGAACCAGACCTTCTCTCTCTCTCTCTCTCTCTCTCTCTCTCTCTGGAGAAAGGGCACCAGAAAGCACTTTCTACTCCTACAGACTTTAAGAAATAAAATTTTAGTACATGTTTAATAAAGATAAAATATCACATTATGCCACACCTCGTATGAGGGTTCTCCCTTGACCCCCATAAGCGATGATATTACCCTGGGATCTGTCCCCATTCAGGGCGAGTTTATAGGGAGCTATCCCCACCTTCTCCACCCAGACCCTTGTGAACAGCATCATGAATTTTTTAGATGGTTGGTTGGACTTGGGAGTGCAGTTCAGAGCTATAGGACAGATGTTCCGGTGAGAGTCGAAAACTGGTCTGGAGAGGAGCCCATGACTTTGGCCTCTTTGTCCTGGAAGATTATGCCATGGCCCTGAATATCTGCAGATCCTCTGACCTTCCCTATCTCCCTCTGGCTGCGCCCCAAATGGCTTTCCCTGGTAAAAGCTGGGTTAGCAGAGAAGAAAGCTTCACAGGAAGTTAGGATGAGTATGGCTTTCTGCTGTCCTCACGAACTCTGACCTATGTTGAAGGACTGGGTCTCATCATTGTAAAGAGAGATTTGTCTCTGGACTCTGCATGACCTCTGCCAGCTTCCTACTCATAAATCCAAGGCCTCTGCCCATTCTCCATCTCTAAAATGCGTGTCCTGGATCTGCCTCCTATTGAGCCCTAGTTCTAATCTGGCTGGCCCTGGTAGAAAGTGAATTCCTGTTAAGAAATTAGCTGATAACATCTGAGGCATGGGCTCTCCTCTGTATATTTCATTTGCATCTTAATAGGAATATTCAAAACCAAAAAGTTAAAAAAAAAAAACAACAATTGAGTACCTCAGGGTGAAATGTCAGGCTCCTTTACACAGAGATCTGGGGGGGTGGTATCCTGTAGATCTCCCCACATTTGTGTATGCACCTAAAACTGGCCGTAATGTCAATGTCAGGCCCACAGACATCCTCAAATCCAAAAGAAAAACATTCACTTTGCAGCAACAACTGTCCCTCTTTGAGTGTGTTCTTAGGACTCACCAAATCCTAGGACCCAGAACAGGGCATGCTAAGGAGTTCAGTTTACTGGCAATTTGGAGCACAGTCCTTTGTCAAGTGGGGTATTTCCTCTGACATCACTGGACTGCTCGTCAGCTCCAAAATGGGTCTTTGCCAGGAAAACCTGAATTGAAGAGGAGGCTGGGCCTTCGGGGAAGAGAGCCTGTGTCCTGGTGGGCTGGGTGTGTCTGCCCCAGGCATCTCTCAGAGGTGCTGACTCCCTGAACTAATGTACTTTTGACCTAAGAGGGGAAAAAAGGTGTAAACAGTGGAGCTGCCTGGGTGGGACTTTTTTAACTGCCAGGATGGTGACAGCCCCAGCCCCACCTACACCATCAGAAGCCCATGCCCACCCTGCCTGTTTCTTCCCACTCCCTCGCATCACCCCTCCCTCCCTGTTCTCGTGAAGACCAGCCTAGGTGACACCTTTTGCTTCCCAAACCTCCTTTGTAGCTCTTCTTTGACCCCTTTCCTCAAAATATTCTCAATCTTTCCTCCTCCAATGCCAGACTGTTGGCATCTGTCTCCCATCTTGTGCAGCCTGCCATCCCTAGCTAACCATGGTTTTATAATTGTCTCTGGTTAAAGTTTAAATAGATGGGTTTCAGCCCAAGAGAAAAATGTAAACAAGCCCTTTCTGCAGTCTTTCAGAACTGCTGACTTCCAGTGCTTTTGAATTCTGTACTAGGAAATTCATTCAGCTCCTCCCTAACCAAGGAACTGAAAGCCGTCACTGGGCTTTCAGAGATGTGAGAGCCACTCTGAAACCATCGAGAGGCTTTTAGATAATCTACACTTTTCTTTTTAACTCAATTAAGCCATCAGGATCCAATTCCTACTCTAGGATGTTCGTCTGTTGTATCAGTGAGAGAACAGTTAAGCAATCTTCATGGGCTGGCCTCTGAAGAAAGGAAGGAAGTGAAAGGAATTGTCATTTCCTGGTTGGAATTTCTTCTTTGGGGGGAGGAGGGGTTTGTATTTGTTGCCCCAGGTTTTAGGGTTGATGAGGCTGTCTTACGAATCATGAGAATGGGATCGCTCTTGGCCAATGTGCAAGGAAGAGGGAGGCTCGGGTTTGAGCTGGTGATTCAGGCATATATCCCTTCATTTGCTGTGTTTCCTCAGAAGTAAGCAGGACATTGTTTTGAGTCTTGATTAAGAATATTGATTTTCTATATTTTTCTATTTTGTGTACTTCGTGTACTTGTGATCTGGTGTCAGGACGAATTCAGCAATAATTTTGATGTTTTAGTCAAGGATTTGATTGGATCTTTGCCTTCTCCTATTAAAAAACCTTCAGTAATTGTCTCATTGCAATTTCTGGCTCCTATTCAGAGTCTTCCATGGGCCGGCTCCAACCCGCCTTCACCTTCCACTATTCCGGCCATGCACTGACCTCACCGAACTTTCCACCCAGCTCCTGTAACATGTTCCCTTACTCTGCAGTGTCCCAATGCCTGCTGACCCCTCCCCCAGCCTCCTCAGAGTCTTCCCAAAATGCCACCTTCCTGTGTTCTGTGAGCTTTCCCTGCTCTCCCTGCACAACCCAATAAACCACTCCTTCCCTCAGTTCTCTAGCAGTCCACAACTGTCCCCATCACAGCAGCCTTTATTTTGCTGTTTCTTGGTCAGCCTGTGTCATGGGTCAGCTTCCTGCACTAGCTACTTAGCTCCTCGAATGGAGAATGGGGTATTCATCCCCCCATACTGCCCTGCCTCGTACGTGGCCCATCATCAGGGCTCAAAAATATTTAACCTTTATTTTTCAACCTCCCTGAAAACTTGATGCCAATATTTTTTAAAACAGCTCTTGAGAGGACCCAGGAGGAGTGAAGAAAGGAATTTGGGGCCAGACAGATTTGAGTTCAAATCTAAGCTCTGTTGAGTACTAGTACCAGGATGGCTTCTTTTCCAAGCCTCGTTGTCTTCGTTTGCAAAATGAAGATAATCAGATCTCTTTTATGGGTTTTTGTGTGAATTAAAATGAGATCATGCAAGTTATGAAGCTAACACAGTTCTGTCTTGTCCTTACCATCCCTTGATGTTAAAATATTTTTTTTAATTAAAAAAAAATTTTTTTTTAGTAGGCTCCATGCCCAGGCTGGAGCCCAATGCAGGAATCAATCCCACAACCCTGAGATCAAGACCTGAGCTGAGATCAAGAATCGGATGTTCAACCGTCTGAGCCACCCAGGCACCTTGATGTTAAAACTTTTAAATGTTGAAACATTTAACTCTGGAACATGGATTGTAGTAATCAGTTTAATAGATATGTGCCACATTTTCCTGTTAATAGTACAACCTTCCTTGATACAACAGTTTCTTCTCACAGTCGTGAGTTTTTCAAAGGCTTATCTTGTAAATAGGGTCGGACTTACCTATTTGACACCTGAAGAAATCCCAGTGATGGGGAAGATGACGAGCAGCACCCTGTTTTTTGTTATTTTCACATATGGAGGGTCATCCTCACACCATCACACTGGTCTCTTCATTTCCAAGGTTAACTTTAAAGAGGAGAAGACACCGATTAGGACACTGCTCTTTTCCCCCTCCACCAAAAGCTACTTTCACCCATGGGAGGGGAGCAGTGAATTCCATTCATCCATCCAACATTTATTGAAGGCCTGCCATGTACCAAGATACTAAGATAAAAGATCAATCAGCCAAGGTCTGTGCCTTTATAAAAGGCTGAATCTAATGAGTTTGGGGTAGTGGGCAGATAAGCAACTAAATGAGACAAGGATTGTGGGATGGTCAGCCTGTCAGGAAAAGCTTCAGAAAGAGGTTCTACTTGAGCTGAGTCTTGAAATATCCGTATGTGGCTGTCAACAATCGGGGCAAAACACTTCAGGTGGAGGAACCCTAACTCCGGCTCCTTCCGAACCTCTGCTGGCTTCATGGAGCCTGAAGCATCTGGCTCTACCATCTCTCCCCTGTTCAGCGGTCTTCTCTTCCGCCCAGGCGACTTAAAAATCCTTCCTTGGCAGCAGCAACCTTATTAGTGCTGGTTCCACTCAGAGAACTGACAGGAGAGGCTCTGTTGCTGCTTCTGCTGCCGGGACCAGAAAACAGCTGGAGTTGTTTGAGGTCCCTAGGGGAGGGTGGAGGAGCTGAGCACGCATGTGCGTCCATACCTGGGTCCGCGGGTGAGTGCATTTCAGAGTGGGGGGAGGGGTGTCCATCTGGGTGGCGGGCTAGATGTTGATCTGCAGGTGTTGCCACAGAAAACAGAAGTGGATATTCAGAAAATCAAGTGACAGCTCAGGATCTCATGGACAAGCTGAAAGACGGCTCAGAGAAGTGTGTGTGTTGCGCGGGGGGAGGTTGAAATAACCTCAACCAAAACAGAATGAAACAGAGAAGGAAGTTGCATCAGAAGAGGAAGAATGCCAGTGTCATGCTGAAGAGCCACAAATGTCACAAAACAAAAATAAAACGTGTGACTCTTATTTTATCTAGTCAAATACTATTAACATATTTTCTTCTTCAGAGCATTATTAAAACTACTGAAAATGACAGAAATTAGTGTAGCAAACAGGGAGAACACAGAAAAACACAAACAAAAAATGGTTATAATTTTTTTTATGTTACATACCTCATACTTCATTTATTTGGGTTAGTGATGGATTATAATTTTGTCTTCTACCTCCGTAAACAAGTTTCTTTTCTCCAGTACTTAAAAAATATTAAAAACAAGTTCTGAGATTGACTTATTGAAGAACACTTAAAAGGTCTCATATTAGTACAAATTGGGAAATTTTAATAAAGATACTCTAATGATAGTGAAGTGATTGAAGATGTCAGAGCAAGAAATATAGATCTCAGGGATGTTCAGTTTTGTTTTGTCTTGTTTTAATTTTATTTAGTTAGTTATTTTTAGGTAATCTCTATCCCCAACATGGGACTCAAACTCACAACCCGGAGATCAAGAGTCACACGCTCTTCCAAATCAGCCACCCAGACGCCGCCCAGGGATATTAAGTTTTTTCATTTCTGTTCAAACAGCAATGTTACCGTCTTTACCAAAAAGGAATAAAAGAGCACTCTTCCTTTTGATTACATTCTTGTAACTACAAAGATGAAAACTTTATGGGATCGACTTTAGGTGAGGGGGGTTTTATAAAAAGTTAATATAACCCTGGAATAAGCATGGTATCAAGACTCATATGAGTCTTTTGACTATTACTTTACAAATATAGTCACAGGAACTGGCTTCCCATCCCCTTCTTAGAATTAAAATGATTAACTGATTTGCCAATTTTACAAATAGCTGAAAGTGTATTGAGTTTGGAGAAGTCAATTAGGGAAGTTTTGCATGCTTTAGTGAAAGTGCAAAACGGTAGTTCCCAGTTGAATAAATTACTAGTCCACATTCTAGTTTACCAGGTAAGTAGTGAATGGGCTTGGGGTAGACAGAGAGGAGATGAAATGATTAGGGAAAGAGAAGCCTCCAGTGATGGAGAAAGGGAGCAAATAGGTCTGATGCTCCCTGTTTACTTACGCCAGGTTTTCAGTAAATAATTGTGGAAGGAAGGGAGGAAGGAAGGAAAGAAGGAAGGAAGGAAATGAATTAATGAATGGTAAGTACAAAGAAAGTGGCATAAATGCCTAATTCAAAATGGAGTTTAAATTTTGCTTCATGACAGCGTTATAACAATATTCCCCTATGCTATACCTGCCTTGGCAACATACAAAGATGTATAATTTTCAAAAGTTGTGAGACCCTTAAAAAAGGAAACATATAAAAATTAGATTTGGAGGAAATGGAAATCTATGCAAATCTAAATTTTTAGATTTTTCTGAAGATATTTTTACAAGTCTAAATTCAGTGTTACTTTAGGAACCTGATAATGGATTGAAATTGTTTTTTTATTTTTAAAACAAATCACTGGTGGGGCTACAAGCTGACATCAAATGTCATTTGGCTTTGGCCAACTGAGGAGAAAACAGCAAGAAGTTAGAAAGAAAAGATACCATAAACACCATAGTAAAAGCAAACGAAACCAGAAAGTTTTTTTTTCCCCCTAGACCCACTGCTTTTTATAAGAAATTTGTTTTCAGAAGGTAATTTAAGGGTTGTGGGGAGAGGGAGAAAAAGTAAACCAAATCCATGGACTGTAACTTTTTTCAAGGCACCTACGTTTTGGTCTAATGAGTGGATGTCCCCATTTGTGCCAGTTTCCCCACTCTCTGGGCTCCCCCATCTCCAGGGGCTCTCCGTCTGGACATATTTCCTGATGCAGCACTTGTTGGGGATGCTGAGTCCCACTCCAGAGTAGTCTGATAAATCCCCTACCTCAGCTCTTATTCTGGGAAGCATGTCCTTTCTGATGGTGTTCCCAAGGAATGGGAGAGAGAAGAGAGGATGCACGTATGAACTTAGGGATGCTAAGTTCTGCTTTACATTTTAAATCTATAGATCTTTCCTTTAATAAGTGGCAGGCCACTCTTAATTCCTGCTCCTCTGTACTGAAGAACTTAGCATTGCTTCTTCCCTTGGTGATCCAAGGAACTTTGCTCTTTTCCCAAAATACCTCTCTCTCCCAAAGCAATTTCCCCTCCTCTGAGAAATGCTGTCATGTCAGGCTGCACTGCCCTTGAACCAGACAACTTTCTCTGCTTGTCTTTATCTGTCTAAATAAAGCTAACCTACATTTGCTGTCTAATTCATTCGGATGCTTGCTGATGCTATTTAAAGCATCCCTTAAGGCTCTGTGGAAAACAAGATGCATTATCTCCAGTAGAGAACCTTTATGTTTGTTGGTCATTTAAGGAATTCAAGAATCTAAAGAATCCATTCAGTCTTTAGTAGTTCAGATGTAAGGGACAAAGGAACTCTTCCGTGTTTTTTCGTTCCAGGCAGTCTTCCCTGACTTGTATGTTGCTGGGTTCAGCTGATAGAAAAAGAGGTAGCTAGAAAGTTAATCTCTCTTTCTCTCTCTCCCCCTTGCACCCCCCACCTCTGTGTGTGTGTGTGTGTGTGTGTGTGTGTGTGTGTGTGTCTGTCCTTGTCTCTAGGCTTCATGAAACCCAGCTTTTTTCTTTTTTTTTTAAGATTTTATTTATTTATTTGAGAGAGAGAGTGAGCAAGTGAGAGAGAGAGAGAGAAGAGCACAAGAGCAGGGGGAGAGGGAGAAGCAGACTCCCCACTGAGCAGGGAGTCTGATGCAGGGCTCCATTCCATGACTCTGGGACCATGACCTGAGCTGAAGGCAGATGCTTAATTGACTGAACCACCCAGGCACCCCAACACCCACCTTTTCTGAAGATTAATTTCACAACAGAATGTATTTTTCATCCTGGGCTTTGATAATTGGTTAGTCCACTGTGGTTACCTGTCCCCTCTCAGGGAGCAAATGTGAAAGATCAAAAAGAGCAGCCACCTCAGTAAACAAGCTTTTTGGTGAGTTTTTGGCTTGTCTCCACCTCCCATTCTTCAACCTCCACCTGACATTTCATTAGAGAATCCTGGTACTTCCACATTCCAGGAAAAAAAAAAAGGAAATTCTAAACAGGGAAAGGAATAAAATAATGGGGTGGTAAATAGGACTCCACTGTGCACTTCTATATGGGAGTTCAGAGAGGGTTTCAAATCTGTTGCTTGTTTTTTTCAGATCTGGTATTTCTGTCTGTCTGTTGGCTTGCTTAGTGGTAGGGAGACCTGGTACAATGGGATGATCTTAACCATTAGTGCCCTGCTGCTCCCCGAAGCACATGTTTTTATCAGCATCCACTTGTTCAGCCACGATTCTGTGACGTCCATTGCAGAGAGTGAGTCAGAAGCCACAAGCTAACAGGTCTATTCCTTCCCTCTGTCACCTAGGAAACCAAAGCATCATCCACAGGAAATGCAGGCCCCAATGGGGGGTGTGCCCAGATCGGGTTATAAAGCTTGCATGAGTTTTTCAAAAGAGGTCAAATAATAATGTGTAGAATCTCAGTCTAGGGTGGAAAGTGGATCCAGCCTCTTGGGTGTGGATGGAAGGAGGACAGTCATGCAGAAATACCAGGAGAAATTAATCAGCTAAAATCATGGGAGATGTCTGCTTTATAAGAAATTTACCAAGGGCGAGGGTTATTGAGACGTGGTTTGATTTCCCCCACAGCAAATGCATTTATTTGCCCATTGGTTGAGCGTGGGGGGTTTTTGTTCGTGGTTTTTTTTTTTGTTTTTTTTTGGCACGTTTGGATGGTGTGTGAAATGAGATGAGGAAATTGACAACACATCAAACCAGGCTTTCTGCTGAGTGAGATGAATATCCTCTTTTTCATGGCTATTCTCCCTTGGATTAAAAAAGTGATGGAGTGTTCCTTCAAAGAAAACCACACCCTGATTCCCCCCATGACCTCACTGTTTTTTATTTTTATTATTTTTATTTTTGCCTGTGCCTTATTTTTTCCCTCCTTGACCACTACATTTTAACATAGTCAGTTGGCCTTCATGTATATATACAATTTACCACACACTATACACATATCTGTGAATGTAAGCTGAGATAAATTACCTGTCCATTTTCGTGTTGTTCAACGAGCTCAATGTTTCCAGGCAGTTTATACTCTCATACCACTATGGGCGAAGGATTCTACATAAAAGTACAATGTGAGCTCTCTTAGAACTTCTTATTTTGACTCAAAGAATATTAGAATGGGGTAGGGGGAAACAACTCAGAAATCATCTGGTTTAATCACCTCATTTTTCACATGAGAAATTAGTCCTAGAGAGGTGAAGTGATTTGTCTAAGTTCATATAATAAATCATGGTATATATGGGAGGCAGAGGAGAGGAGAGAGAAAAGGTAGGAAGTTTGACCACAAGCTCAGAATGAGTCAACAGGTGATATGACCACCTCTAGGACTGTTAAAATACTAAGTTGCATTAATTGAAGTATGAAGTCCTGACTGGGAGGGGCAACTGGTACCCTCCCACGCTGGTCAGTGTTGCCAAGAGTATGATGTTCTGTTCTGAATACCCATTGAATGGGGAACAATGACAAACCAACCAAAATGCCCAGAGGAGGGTAAAGATGGTGATAAGAGTTTTAGTAACTATAACATAATAAGAACAATGAAAAACATTATTTAGCTTGGAAACCAGAGGTTTGTCATGGAGGGAATGAGAGTAAGTATTATTAAATAACTGAAGGGCTGCCTTGAAGAGGGTTCAGACTTATTTTGAGTGACTGGGAAGGGTGGTCACAAATGAGTAGAAGTTAAAGATAATGGATTTTAGCTCCATATAAGTAATTTTGTAATAATTCTAGCTGATTGAAATGTATTAAATTGATAGGGTAGTGGATTAATTCTTTATCTCCAGAGGTGTTCGAGTATTCACTCATTTATCCAAACATGTTTATTGAGCACCTGCCATATGCCAGTCATTGGACTAGAGGGACTTTGAGGTTGTGGTCTATGTTAATTAAGGCAATACTAACTGTAGTATTAAATCTGTATATCAAACCTGAGACATGATAAGAAATTTATTTCTCACTCATAAAACATCCAAAATGGGTGTTCATGGTGGGTGGCTCTCTTCCAAGTGGTCATTCAAGGAACCAGGCCCTTCCA